CATGACGAGCTGGCGAAGGCCGAAGCCACTCACACCGACCTGGTCCGCCAGTTGAACGCCTCTGTGGATCGTGATCATACGCCTGTTCTGGCCTTGGACGTTTCAGACATCATCCCTGGCACATTGTCGGAGATTCCCATCAGTATCTCGAGCCTTCTCGGTGCCGCCGGTGAGTACGACTGGTCCATGGAAGAGCGGGACGAGGCAGACCGCCGTGTGCAGCATCCGTAAGCAGCTCTCAGGGAGGCTCTCATCGCTTCGTTCCCAGAAGAAGGCGGACGTTTTCGAGCTGGAGCACCAGGAGCAGCTCGAGCGGTTGCGGCCCAAACGTGCGCGAGTGGGAGAGCCGCCAGAGCATGCCGCTGGAGGGGCTGGCGCAGAGGGCGCAGGAGCAGGTCGCGCTGAAGGAGGCGAAGGTACGGGCGCTGAGTCATCGGCGGCGTCTGCAACGGCTTCGGTGCCTTTTTCTTCCTCTCCTGAGTCTCCCGCTGATGCCGAGTTCCGTTGCGAGCAGATTTTTCTCCCCCCCCCCCGCAGGCAGCGTAGCCTGAGGGGGGGGGAGCCAGAGATACCATCAGTTTTGCTGACGCTTGCCAAGGGATAGGCTCCGCTGCCCCCCCCCCCCCCTCATTGGGATTCGGACTTTAGGCCTCGAGGGTATTCTGAGGGGCCGAATTTGCGTCCTGGATTGGTTTCCGACTTTCTACTTCTGCCCCGTTTAGCACGCCACCCGAACCCAAGCCAGGAGAGCTATCGCTGATCATTGAATCTCGTAATGCCACCTCGTGGGGTTCTTGTAACGAATGGCTCGCCCATACGCAGGCCCATGTTATAGCTTTGCAGGAACGTCGCATTGCCGCGGATGAGGGCTGCAGAGAGGCCGCAGACTGGTGTGCGAGGAATGGCTGGAATGGTTTGTTCGCGCCAGCCTGCCCAGGGAATTATGAAGGCAGCTCTGGAGGCGTCGCGCTGCTCGCTCGTGCGTTGCATGGATTCCACGACTGCCTCGCGGTTCGGTACTGCACCTTCATTGTGGTATCGGTGGCCTGGTCAACTTACCAGGCAGCGTCGACCACCCGTTCTTTTTTCGGCTCGGCTCGCCTGCAACATGCGAAGGGGTTGACGGACCGGAACATCGCAATCCTCAGTGTTGCAGGTGCAGCGGTTGCACTTTACTCAAACGAGGCCGTGGTCGCAGGTGGTTGAAACATGACACCGTGTGAGATGATCGCTCGTGTTTTTCTTATTTCCAGAGAAGCTGTTAAGTGACGTTGTGTTTCCTGAGTGTGAAGGGATTTGCAGTGCGACTGGGGGTCCCGAGATTCTGGGCTATTTTGTAATCACGTCAGGCATGTATAAGGGAATTCAGGCTTAGGATGAGATACGGACGTCCCGCATCACCTCCCATTCCCCTGTGCACAGGATCCTCCGCCCCAAGGCTTATCCCCATCCAGGCTCTGGCTTTTGCCGAGACGCCGTCGGTTTCGCCCGAGGGGCCTATCGGCCCTGCCCGCCAGCCCCCCCGTTGGGCCCGCGTGCTCAGCATGGCCTGCGAGCTGGTGGGCTCTTCGATGCCTGGAGAAGCGGTCTGGGATGTGGCCGCGAGGCGGTGCCTTCTGTATGGGCGTGGGGCCCGTCTGGCTTAGGTGGAGGTCGCTGGTGTTGCTCATGCGCCCTTCCTTATATATATATATATATATACACAATTCTTTTTCTATTTAAAAAGCAAAAGAACTTCGGGGCTAGGTGTGATATGCTTAAGTTGAAATGGGAGTCTGTTTTCAATGCCGATATTTGCACAGGCCGGCACCCCGAGCTGTTCGCCACAAAGTGGTTCCACGACGCGGCCAGGAAGTGGGCGATGGCCACTCCCGCGTCTGAGGAGCTCGGGTTGAATGCTGTTCTTCTGCTCGAGCCCCCCAGTGATGTCGGCGCGGGGCTGGCGAGCTGCCTTGATTTAGTTCGACGGTTTCAAGACTTGTCAGAGGAGCGCGTGTTGATGGCTCGCCTCAGTTCTGGGAGAGGGATGGGGTGCCGCCATGCTCCGTTTCGGGTTTCGGAGCCTGGTGCCCCCGCCCTGCCCGCGGTCGAGCAGGTGCTCTAAGCGCCGACACTTGTTTCGCTGGATGACGAGTTTGCCGACCCTTTCGCTGATTTGGGGGGGGGGGGGGGGCGCCGTCGAGGGCGGGTTCGAGGGTCCCATTCGACGATCGCGGCTTCCCCCCCGCCCCCCCGTTTGCCCATCGCGGTTTGGCGAATCTTGGTCAGGGCAGCCTGTTTTAGACCCCGGTGCAGGTGGCGCTCCGCAGGACGAGCAAGCGCATCTTGCTGACCTGCAAGCGTGGCTGGATGCCGCCGCGGCTGCCGCCCAGGCTCGCGCCAGGGCCGAGGGCGCCAGAGGTCGGAAAAAGGTGGCGTAGACAAAGCACCGAGATGGGGTGGAAGAAGTGCGCGTCTGGCCCGACGGCAGGCTGGAAACCGTCTTCGGCCCCGAGTTCCTTGGGAATTGTCGTTTCGGATCCCTTGTCCTGGGTCCGTGGCCAGGCTGAAATTTCCCCGGATTCGCGGCAGAAGTCTAGCCGGCCTCGGCCCCGGACTGGAGGTGGATCGGCCACGACCAGCGGAGCTGACATCCCCGCAGTTCAGCACTCCGACGATGGTGTGATTTTTGGGCCTTTGGCCCTTATGTCGGTAGATGTTGTGCGAGTTGTCTCCAGAATGTATTCCCCCGGGGCGGCGCGTGGGCTGGGTGGTCGTCATGTGCGTCGTTGCAGTTGGATGGGCGAGGACTGCTTGCAGGTACTCTTTCTCGTGATCGGGGTCGTGGGCGCGATTTCGAACCTTCCAGTTCAACTCCGTGTGGCGCAGCTCGCGCTGCTGATGAAGCCGTCAGGTGGCTGGGGGCCGATCGGCTTGTGCTGCTCGCTATGCCGCCTGTGGGGGCGATGCCGTCGCAGTTCTGTGCTCGCGTGGGAGCTGGACCACCGGCGCAGCATGTGCGCAGGGCAAGCTTTTGCTTCGGCCAGTGACGTAGCGTGGAGGCAAAGCGTCAGGAGATTGTACATTGCGCGGGCAGCCAGGGGATCCTGTCCACCGCCGTCTCTGGCCGCGCCCCTGCGCTGCCTCTCTCCGCGAAGAAAGTGTGAAGCCTGGTGTTCAAAATTCTGCCGCTGGCGCGGACGTGTCCAACCCTGTCCAGGCCTTCTTGTTTAGTAGAGGGTTTTCCGCAACCTGGGGGCATTTTCCCCTGCCCTGCCCTTGGGGATAGTGAGTTTCAGGCCACTAGGTATTGGGGCGAGCCCCCCTCCCCCCTGTAGGTGGCACTTTTGCGGGGGGCATATTTGTGGGCGGTAGTTGCCAGAGACATATGATCAGCGAGCTCTCCAGAGCGGGCTATGGGTTGGCCGTCAAGTCGGACGACGGGCGTAGGCTAGGTAGTCCGGTTGGTCCTGTCCGTTCCCCTTTTCTATAGACGTCGCAGCGCGCAGAGTTTGCCTGCGTTGCGCGTGGAGGGCTCGAGGTCGAAGCCCCGTGCATTTTTTATTCTGATTGTGAGTACGTTGTGTCTCTAACCAGCAACGCCAGCGAGGTTCAGCTCGTCTATGAGAAGCCTCTTCGCTGGCCTAATGATGTTGCTTCGGGCGGGGGGTCTGTGGGTGAACGGAGTGATTGAAGTCAAAGCCCATCTCGACCCGCTGGAGGCAGTGATTTCCGAGAGGGAGCGTTGGATCCGCGCTGGCAATGACGGGGCCGACAAGGCCGCCGAGATAGGTGCTCCCATGCACCCGCAACCGTCGGAAGCGGAGGTCCAGCTTCTGAATTTTCGTATTCGTGTTTCCCGGGCGGCGCGTGCGCTTGCGGCCCAGGTTCTCCCGTCCTGGCCGCGTCTCGACCTCTCTGAGCGCCCTTGGCTAGCCCCCCCGAAGGCTCCCAAGGAACCCAAGGGGCCTTGGCACTCTTGGGCTTTTGACTTGATTGGAGGCCGCCCTGGTCTTTGGAGGTGTCAGCAATGCGTCATTTCGAAGAAAGCGACGGGGGTCTTTCCTCAGCTTGGGGAGTGCAATAACGTCTCCACGCTGGACGGGCCCTCGTTGCGGGCCTCGAAACATGAGGCTGTTTTTTTTTGGGGGGGGGGGTCTTGGACGGCATCTTCATCGCAGCCTGCGTAAGGTGCCACCTGCACGCCACCGTTAGCCATGGTCGAGGACCGGCTGAAGAGTGTGGCCATCCCGCGCCGAAGCAGGCCTGGTCGTTGAACCAGGGCTGCAAGGGCCCCCGCCCGACTCGCAGAGGGAAGGGCGCGTCGGCGGAGCCCGTGCCATGGCGATGGGTGGATGGGCGCGACGCAACACTGGGGATCCTCCCGTGATGGGATACTCCAGATCTCGTAATAAAGGGAGAGGGGGTCTCATTTCGGGGGGGGGTCTCTTCCAGGCTGTCTTGGATGGCCTGGGGGGGGCTGGGGACGATGTTTTGGAGGGTTCTCCCACGGGGGAGGTCTGAAATGGCTTGTCTTGGAGGGTCCAGACCCCTTCGCTTTTATTACGAAATCTGGAGTATCGCCTTGGGGTGGTCCGCCTGTCCGCCCTTGTTTCCTCCTCGCAGTTCATGCCAAAGAGAGCATGAACTCCTCCTCTTCCTTCTCCTCCGCCTCCTCCTTCCTCATCCTCCTGCTCAATTCTCCTGCTCATCCGCCGCCTCCACCTCCACCGTCTCCCATGTACGTTGCTCTTCTTTCTGCTTGCGCATACGCGATGAGGTCATTTGGGGGGTTCCGGTTTGCTATTGCACCTGTCGGCCGGTACAGGAAAGCCGGCGCAATGGGAAGGGATGGGCGGCGGGGGTAGGATGTTAGATATGGCGCGAGCGCGCCTAGGTTGCCTCCCTTCCCTTCCCCTCTCCCCCCCGTCCCATTTTATGCCCTCCGCTCCCCCTCCCCTCTCTACTCTCTGGCCCCTCCTCTCCACCTTCCCCTCTTTGCACATGCCTTGCTGTGCAAGGCTGGGGGCGAGCGCCCAAGCCTCGGGCTCGCGCAGTCGCTTAAGCTGAAGAAGTTCGCCAACCATTCGGCGCGACCTAGGGCGGTCAGCTGAGATTGACGTTTTGTGATCACTCCTCCCACTGCGTTCCTCGTCATCTCTCCTCCATCCCTCTCCTCCGTCGTCTCCCTGTCCTCCTCCTCCTTTGCCGCTGTCCCACGCTCAGATTTGCATCAGCCCTGGCGCCTTGTCGGCCTCCCCTCTAGCACAATGCCAAGCGGATGGGGGCACATGCCGAACAGCCTACTGGCATCGTTCACAGGGAGCGTCGGAAACATATCCGAGGAAATCAAGCCTTTGGGCATCGTGCTACTCAGCGGCATCCATAGGTGGCCTGGTGCAGGGCTCGCCTGCCGTGCATACCCTCCCGCCACTGGTGTCTGCAGATGTTTGGGAATGCTGGTCTCATGTTCACAGGGAGGGCTTGCGGCAAGGCCGTTCTCATTAAATGCATCACCCCCCTGGCAAAGAGAGCCTGCACTTAGGGGTTGGTGTTTCTGTTCCAGGGAACTGTGCCGTGTCTTCGGCCTGGCGGCTATGTGGCCGCCGTCGCCGCCCCGCCGCCGCCTCGTCGCCGCCCGTCGTCTGTGCCGTGTCCTCGGTCGGGCAACTACGTGGCCAGCCGCCTCGTCGCCGCCCGTCGTCTGCCCCGTCGCCGCCTCGTCGCCGCACATATGGCACAACATTGATGTTGCATAACACATTGCTCCACATATATTGCACCACCTACATGGCCCCGCATGTATTGCTCCATGTAGGTTGGACAACTCATAGGTTGAATCGCTCAGTTTATGTATATCTATATACAAATGAGTATTGGGACCCCCCCGACTTAACGGGTCCCCTTTTCGTGTTGCAATGTACATATGATTATGCCCCATCTTCCGTCCTATATATACACACTCGTATCGTCCCAATTGAACCGATCACATCTCCCCTCACTCTGTGCAGAAAATGCAATGCTCGCGGAGTCGTTTATCACAAGTCATAAGTGTAACAACTCCCTTGCAACAAAATCGGCAGAGTGCACACGCGCGCGTCGCCGCGCGCATGCCGACATTTTCCAAACACCATAGAGTATGTAAGGATTTTAAGATCGAGAGTCACGAAGACACATAAACGCTCATGGTTTCGCAACAAGGGCTCTCAAACAATAACTTGCGCTCGGGGTAGTCCGAATTGTGTAGAAGACCAATTTTTCAGCATGTTCATAACTTGACAGCACGCGGACTGCTCGCATGCGCATGTCGGAATCGCTCGACCGGCTTTTGCGCGCGTGCTGTCTCAATAAGCTCTTGCATAACAATGGGACGACGTGCGCGCGCGTCGTCGCGCGCGCATGCCGAAATCCATTAGAAACTCCGGGGCTCGTAAGGATTTCAAAATCGAGTGTCCCGAAAACATATGAAACATGGTTTCGCAACGCGGGTTATCAAACAATAAAGCCTGCGCCCGCGCCCTTGCGAATTCTTAAGGCAACCATCGTTTTTTCCCTCCGCATTTTCATTCAATTCGGCCAAGCGCAAGCGGGCACCTCGCGCCGTACGTCGAAATCATTCGAAACGCCCTTGCGGGCGTGCTGGGGGGGGGGAAGGGGCACGATCGGTGTCAAATAATTCCATGCGGACCTCCCGCGCGTCGGCCGCGCGCGCGTGCCGAACTCCCTCCAAAACCTGCATCACCGACGAGTGCGCCGTCATCGTCGCTGGCGCGATCAGCATCGGCACTTTAAACGGAGAAGGTTAAAGGCGAGGTATAAATCGAGCATGTACCGCTGCCGTGCCTGGCTCAAGCCGGGCCCGGCCAAATATATGACTGTGCCTCACTGAGGCGCACGACTTGCATCAGAGATCGGAAAATACCTTTTCCATTGACGATGCCCATCCTATCCTTTACTCCAGATCCCATGCTTCGTCTTGCACTCTTGCTCATGCGATATGAGCCAAAGCCTGGGATATGGCAACGCTTAAAGCGTAACACATACCTAAGCTTACCAGCTTGTTTTCGACTTGGTAGCGGAGCTGGCTACACTCTCGTGTGGCTGGCTCTCGCTCTGATTCCTGTAATCCACGGCACAACTTGGTGGACTACTACTACGGTGGAATACCATGTTGCGCCGGCTCTGCGAGGAGCGGAGCCAGTCCGCGATCGAGCTAGCGGGGCAACCCGCGAACTCGAGACGCTCTCTCCTACTTCACTGCGCCACTTCACTCCCGACTTCCACCAGATGCCAATCGGCAACTCGATCGAGAACGTGGTCACCCTGCGGGGCTACCCGCAGCGGGGCCACCTGCATCCCGTGCCAGTCAGGCGCCTCACGGCTACTACGCCAGAGCCTGACAAACCACAGCCTAAACCAATCACCGAAGCCGAAATGCACATGCATTGGATCAAGATAACTATATTCGGCATTCTGTGGGTAATAATGGGATGTGCTGTGGGATACATGCGGCAGGGGATGGACGACACGCGTACTACTGGCCCTTCATGGGACCCTGCCGGTACTACGCCTTTTCGCGAATACGTTCGCGAAGTACATGCATGGTTAAACGTAACGAGTGGCAATATGACACCACCACAACAAGCTGCAGCACTACAACGAGGCCTTCAAGGTCTGGCTCGTCGTATCGCCATGCAGGTCCCCTCCCAGATCATCAATTATGGTGTAACTGTCAATGGACAGCCAACGGATGCAGTAACATATATACTGTACTTACTGAGCACCAAATTTGAAAATCTGGAAGATGAGCGCCAGCTCAACTCTGGCACTGCCCTTATCGACTTCCGCGTCGAAAGGGGCGAGCGAATCGACTCAGTATTAGCTCGATTCGAGATGGCCCGTGACGAGGCTAACTCTGTTGGCTTTGTCATCCCCAACTTTCAGATCCTAACGCTGATTCTCTTCAGAGCGTTAGGCGTTGGCGCGTCACGAGCCCAACACCTGCTTGAGCCCTTCAATCATCAGATGCCCCGAACACAAGCAGACTATGACAGGCTGCTGACCAGGATGAGGAACTACGGACATGTTGCCGAGCGCTCTCCTGGCAACATAGCGGGTATCTTCACAGGGCACCACTCACATGCAGGTGTCTACGCCACGACTGCGGGGTCACCCGCTGGTCCTGGCGAGCCAAATCCCTGGGCTGACCCAGCCGATATGCCCAACGAGGCCACTGCCCTTTTAGGGCAGACTGGCCAGGCATCGGCAGAGGCAGCTGAGGCGAACGCCTGGTCGAACTACTCGCCAGGCGCCGCCTACACTGCAAGCCCGCCCTCGGGCGCAACCCTCTGGGGCCAAGCGGAGTCATCCGCTCAAGGGTCTCAGCCACCCTCACCGTTTGAATCTGGCACTGACACGGGTACCTCATCTGACGATGAGCACAATGGCATAGTCTCTGCTGGTAATGACTACCCAGCGGATGACACTCACCTCTCTGAACAACAAAGAGCGGAAGCCGCCTTTATGGCTTATCGCAAATCAAAACGCCGTTGGAGGCGCTTTATGAAGAAACCAGTCAGAAAGGTGAGACGTGCAGTACGCCGACATTTCAAACGATTTGGAAAGGGTCGTGGCAAAGGGGGTCGCAGACGCCGTATGCATGGTAGGGGTATTACTGCTTTCCTCACGTCCTTAACTGATATGGCTTTTGAAGAAGTTCTTATCGGAGGCAAAGGTCGGGGTCACAGGCGGACCTCCGGTAAGGGGAAAGGGCGGAGGGGCAACCCTAGGGACGCTTCTGGCAATACTATGAAGTGTCATACATGCGGTAGCACAGAGCATTTGCGCGATCAATGCCCGAAGGGGAAAGGAAAGGGATCCGTACATTTGGCTCAAAATTCTTTTATGGATGACATAGATTACATTGACTACGAGTTTTACGTCAATCCAGAAGCGGCTCCCGCCGCGGGCTCCTCCACGTATTACGTGATGGCCCGCTACGCTGAAGCAACTGTAGCCCTGGAAGACTACGCAGTGACCCTCTTCGACGAGTTCCACGGCTGGGACGAGGTCGACGAGGTCGCGTACAATGCTTGGTTCGGTCTTCCAGCGGGGCCACCCGCCGGCGACGAGGTCTCCGAAGCCGAGACCGTCCCGGCAACAGAGGAAGAACTCACCGCCGTGCTGGCCCCGCAAGTGATTGGCATGCCGTTGCTGCCAAATCCTTCGTGGGCTGGTTCGGAGGCGGGAGACGCCGATGACGAAATGCGGGGCCATCCCGCGTATTCCGACTCCGAAGAAGCCGAAGAAGATTATAAGGACATGCTCCAAGAGCAGGTCTCAGAAGCAATCCGACTCCTGAGTGCGCCAGCACATCAGCAGATAACCATGAACGAACTGCTGTCACACCCAGGAGCTGCACGTCTACGTCCATACTTGGATTCGGACATGTCAGCATCTCAGATGCTGACAGCACTCCAAGCTCTAGCGGGGTCACCCGCCGAAGAGACGCCAGACGCAACAGCGGGGCCACCCGCTTGGTCTATGGATGTATTCATGCAAGGTTGTGATCAAATGGACATTAACGACCTCGCGATGGAGCAGTTAAACGACATCGGGTACTTCAGAAGCCCGTATCAAAACGTGTTCATGGTCCAGGACAGCTCAGAGGACTCGGAGGACATGCGCTACGCCAAGAGGGACAGACGACCGTCGCCTCCCCGAGACTCAGAGCATGACGATCAAAGGCCAATGGCACGCGGTAGTGCGTCAGCGGGGCCAGCCCGCAGAAGGAGCCGTTCAGCTCCCAGACGCCCTACACATGATGAATCGGGCTATCCATACAGTACTGAGCACTCCGTCGGAGTATCCGCTCAGCATGTGCCGGATTGGTACATCAAATGGTACCCCGGCTACTCGATGGACACGCTTCGCCACTGGTATTCTAAGGAGTACTGCACTAAAAGGGACGAAACTGGCGCGATTATACGTGCCAAGGGTGGCAAGACCAAGACGCCAGAGGCTTGGGACAAAAGGGCTAAGAAACAGGGGATCATCAACGATCGCAAGACATACAGGAAACAAGTATGTC